TTCCTTTTATTGCACTCTCCGCATATCGCACCAATGCTGCAGGCTCCCAGGTGTTTCCGTAGTAGCCTCGCACGTCGTAGATGCGTCTGTGATCAGCGCTAAACGCCAAGCCAAGGATGGCGTCTTGAGATGCAAGTTGGTAGATTAGGTGGAAGGTGCTGGTGGTATATATCTTGATCGCACCCCGTACATCACCTGTTGCGAATAGGTTTCCGTCTCCGCTAACAGTGAGTATTGAAGCGCCTGTGAAGATCTCTTCGGGCTCACCTCCGTATGGATCCCACCTGAAGACTACCCCATCATTGTATAGTCCAAGAACTTGCGGAGAATGCGGGAGCCACTTTGCTGCAGCGACTTCGCCTCTCGCGACTTCTTTCCGGGCGCGCCAGCAGTGGCCAATATGATAAGGGCCTTCCACTTCCCACGCGGATAGTGGATGGCCACGGTACGCGACTGCCATCAAACTGCCGTCACCGCTAAGTGCCATGTAGCTTGCGGCATTCAAGAAGTGACCTTGGAGCTCCTCTTCCTCAAAATTCGCGACAAGATCCCAAGTCGGCGATGGCTCGTTGATTTCAAGTGAACGTAACTGCTTATCGTCTGACCCAACTAACAACGTTCTGTTGTTGTTCACAAAGGCGATGACAAGTGGACGCGATCTTGTCGCTGGGTTCGCCACTGTCGCTATGCAGTCTCCCGTAGAGATTACCCAGATCTTCGTAGTATTGTAGCCGTATGTGACGAGCAATGTCCCGGAAGAGTTCTGCTTTATCATGTATGTACGTTCACCGTGTCTGATGGGACTCGTCGCTGTCTCCTCAAAGAGGGAGGTGTCGAACAAAGACGCTTTTCCCGAGGCGGCCAGTACAGCGACATAATTTCCCGCAGTGGATATAAAGGAGGCATAGGTACCAAAGCCGAATGACAATCTTGCGAGAGAGTCGTCCCATGTCTGTGTCGAAATCCCGGAAACCATCAGACTCCTTTGCTCTGTTCTACCAAACTGCTGATAGATAGCTGAGTTATGCGGACAGAAAGGAGCAATGGTTTTGTGTATCGTAGGGGGGTTGCGTCGCAGGATGGCGCCAAACTTGCCAATGATTTTGACGAAGTCCACTGCCCAGGCTTCGGCCTGCTCCAGTTCCACAACGTCCCTCTTTCCGATGCTGGCTGGAAGCTGGGATTTCCTCTTGTTGACATAGCCGAGCAAATTCTTCGACGCCTGAATGAGTATGCGAAGTCGAAGTTCAGTTGCTAGGATATGTATCCACGTCAGTACATAATGACCTGTCAGGAATTTGTTTATGACACTAGCCACGGCTTCACTGCCGGCTGGCACTGCTGCCAAATGGGATGACCACCAGTTCGAGCTGTAGCTTGCAAAATCTGGTATGCCATGATTAAGTTTTGGTCGAAGGCCGCTAGACATGAGATATCGCATGCAGCTTAAGAATAACTGCTCATGTGCCTGACGTCGATCTACTTGGAAAGGTCGGCGGTCGGCGCCAAGCAGATACTCTCGAGCCGTTTCATGAATCATCGCAACGTTGCCATCATTGTCAATGACCACAAACCCGCTACAGACATTCTTGATGGAATCTTGAATGTCTAGGAACTCATGTGCGTCACCTTCTAATGCCTGCAAGAGCTCCTCTATTGTGAGGGCGCGGAATGCACATGTGACACACTGAAGAACGGCTGACGCTAGAGCGGTGTCAGCAGATGATTGGTGCCCGGCGATGGTAACAGCCATCCGGTCGTAGATTGCTTCCATTCCGCGGGGAAACTCGTGAAAAGCTTGCTCGACGGCGGAGTGCGTATGACACGAGTTGATCTTCTCTACAGCAAGTCGTACCCACTGAGAGGTTAGCAAAATCATAGCATGGTACTGGATATCAAACTTACAAGAAAGTTGTCCTGCGCTTCATGCAAGATACGCTGTATGATGTCATCCCTGAAGCCCTTACTACCAGGCAAGATGAGTTCCCGGTCAATGTAGCAACGTAAGTCATCCACATGGCCCTCGATGGTGATCGTCTCTTGAAAGACTGTGTTTGGTGTATGCTCTAGACCAGCAGCTATCTCTGTAGTGTCGCGACTAACCAAAAGGGCTCGGATAGGTGTCGCAGAACCAGCAATGTCAGAGAGCAGGTCTATCAGGGCTTTGGGATTATCAGCTTCGTCAAGGCCATCGATGACCCAGTAAAGTGTTTTCCCAGGACTGAGCTTGAACAATATGGACCTGAATATCCGATCCCAGATCGTCCTCGGGTTTGCAGCCTCAAAGTCGACGGCTTCGCTTTCAACCTCCGCTACCTTTTGCAGAAATTCAGGTAACTGTTGCGCAATCTGATAGGCGATTGAGCGTAGGAGAAAGCTCAGAGTGCGCTTTCTTCTATCTGCGAACCGCACAAAGAAGTATTGACAGCGGAAATCGCGCTCGATCAGGCTGTTGATGATGAACGAACTTAAAACCGACTTTCCTCGTGCCGCGGCCCCCTTCAGCCAAAGTATTTGATGAGAGGATATGTGAGGATTAAGCCAATCCACGAAGCGTTGTTCTCCATGAATCCATTGGTTAGTCCCCTGCACCCATTGGTCCCGGAAGAAGATGTAGTCGGTGTTGGGGAACTCGGCGATAGCTAATATGGCTTTGAGATCCCTTGATCGTCTCCTTCTCGGTGCGCTCTGGCTTCCAGATTGACTCTTCGATATTGACTTGCTCACGAGTGATTTGAGAACGTTCCTCACTGTGATATAGTTCGGGTCGTGAGGGCTCTCATACTTGCAGACACCGTGGTGGTCTGCGTTCAGAGGGTTGGATGTCTCTCCAGGATATCCGAGCAGCGACGAATCTCTTTCTAGCACCATCTTCGCATGTTAGCAATGAAGCTAAAATTGTGTACAGTGTCAGTGGTTCACTTACCACTCGCGCACTTTTCAAACCGATCGAAGTCGGTTGTGTCTCGTAGAATGAAACGATCTTCAGCTTTGGTGCAATGTGACGAAACTGTTCATTCAGCTTCTGCAACGTAGACGAATTCCGCGTCAGCTCAGAAATGAAAGGCTTGGAATTCGTTACAGGAGTCGACTGCAATATTCGGTTGAGCACATTGGCCAAATTGGTGCCCCGATGTGGGGTGGAGAGGAAAATGATTGCTGAAATGGCTTTGACAATGTTCTCGTACTCTGGATCGTTTTGACCTTGCATATAGGCCTGTATAATGTTAGTCAGGTACGCCCAGATCGATGGATGGTGTTACCTCTTTCACGATGAGCCCACCCATGCTGTGAACTACGAAGAGCAAAGGTACCTAAAATGCGCTTTAGAAAAGGCCACGTTGTATGGACAGGTGACCTCACTTGGCCCATATTCAGATTTTCGCCTTGTACATCTGTGTAATATTTGAGATTGTACAGTAGAGTTTTGGCGAAGTCCAGTATCACGTTAGTAGCATTACTGCCATTCGTGAAATCGGCATCGTAGCCGAAACTCAGAATTCTCGCTAGGCAGATATCCGGCTCGAGTGGCAGGAAGGTCAAGGGCCAGAAGAGTCCAGGGCTTTTGTGCTTCGACCAGGTCATACGGCTACTGCCACCAAGCCCATGGATAAAGACGATGTCGGCTTTATGTCCATTGTCTGGCGTGTATACCACATTCAATCCTAAAGCTCCAGGGTCTTGGCCGCCAGTCAAAGCCATGTGAGTTGGGGACGCGGACATCTGGGACGGCGAAGGAGTTGTCGAGGATCGAACATCATCTTCCTGGTCTGGCAGGAGCAACGGGTCGACAACGCCTGATTCTCTCCGCCGGCTTCTCCCACCCAGATTACGGAACTTGAAGGGCTTCGAGAACTATACGATTATTAAGAGTGCGATCTGGATACTCGTTCAATAGCACTTACCATCCTGGGCAAAGGTTCTCGCGAACGGTGGCTCGACCATCTTTGGATACGCGACAGCCGTGCCTAGAGATACTTTGATTGCGTGGCGACATCTAAGCCTCATAATCCTGACCGGTCGTGTGTGGCATGAATCTTAGTCGCCGTTCAAGTTGGGGGCTGCATGCGGGGTAGTGTTCGGTCGTCTGGGAGTGCCAACCCAGCTAATCATAGTCGCGCAGCCCTGTCAATTGGGCGCAGTCCTGGGGTCCATCTAATGGATGCCTGCAATGTGGCGTCACTCGGATATTTGGAAGGGAGGCGGATACATCGATGAGTATCAAGGGCGGGAGCGACGTCCCGCTCGTGGCTGCCGACCCGCAAATCATCTTGCGTGCGGTGAACACCGAAGCTGCTCCCGTGCCACCATCTCAGCATCCAACGTAAGCAGAAGATAACGTACCCGCATGCGAGGCTTCCATCAGCTGTTCCCTCTGCTATTCGAGAGCCGACATATCATAAGTGCGGGTCCCCTACGCGTAGTCGCGTGCTAGTCTTTCATATTCGCCATGATGAATCCATTAGAATGGGAAACCGAAATAGGAGGGACGTTTCGCATTCACCGGGCTGTGACCAGAGGTAGGCATTCCTGCAACCCCGACGTCAGATTTCGTACACTAAGCACTACGGGTTAGCTATGCCTGTCGGTACCAGGATCGTATCTGCAGAGCCTTGCGGTGTTTCTGCCTGGACGAAAACAGCAAAGATTGACGTGATACTTCCGGACCAAAGCTCAAAGAGCTACTTCCTCAAAGTATGTCGTGGTAGAGTAGAGGGTGTTTGTACTTGCTGACATATCGTTGCAACACACAGTGCGCCACCGGCCAGGGCTCAAAGGCTCTTGTCGAAGGCGAGTACGAATCTGCATGCGCTATCAACAAGATAGTCCCAGGTCTGGTTCCTCGAGCGACAGGATGGGGAAAGTATCTAGATGGTAGCACCCAGTTCTATTTCTTCATTGGGGACCACCACGACATGGACCTCGTGCCAGCCCCAGAGCCGGCAAGCCTTGTGGAGAGAGTTGCCAAAATGCACATCGAAGGGAAACCTCCGACTGGCATGTTTGGATTCCACGTGCCAACAGTGTGCGGCAAGTTCGTCCGGACGACAAAATGGGAGAAGACCTGGACGGCGTGTTTTACCAATCTGCTCAACGATGTGATCAAATATGACAACGAGACCAACGGTCATTGGCCAGAGTTCGATGCTGCCTGCAAGCAGGTAATCGCTGTCGTTATTCCAAGACTCCTAGGTGCTCTCCAGTCGGATGGTCGAAATATCGAGCCAGTGTTGATCCACGGTGATTTGTGGGAACAGAATGTTGGCATCGACATGGAAACTGGCGACACGATCCTGTTCGACCCCGGGTGTTTTTATGCCCATAATGAGATGGAGTTCGGCACCTGGAGAGCGTCTTGGGCCTGTCACTTCAATTCTCCGATATACATGCGCTTGTATCAGCGCCATATCGAGCCGTCCGAGCCTGTAGATGAGTGGGACGACCGAAATCGACTATACAGTATCCATATATATCTGAACGATTCCGCAGGCCATCCGGGTAGTATTTCGAGAGCCACGTGAGTATTCATCTGGAGGAGTGTAGAATCGAGCTGATGAAACCCAGAGCTTACAACGACATGTTGTACTTGTGCGAGAAGTACGCACCGCTGGAGGGCCTAGGCACGTACCGTCCAGAGAATGACGTTAGCGTTACTGGCGCCTACATCGAGCACGAGACCACGAAGATGAGCCATCTCCATCATGCCGTAAAGACGTGATAATTGATATACTTGGGTCAACCCTGCGTCTGAGCGTACATCAATTCCGTTGGAGCCGGTGTCTTGGATGCGGTTCAATTGCGGGCATTATCAAGGCGTCGCCATCCTTGATGCGGCACCGATGTAGCAAGCTATCGCGGTAAAGAATGCTGTATCTCCCGGCTCGTCAAGGCTGAAATCTGGTTGTGCGGTGCTGGTGATGAGGGAAACGGCGCGTCCCTGCCCAAGTGAGCTCGACGCGTCCGAAGTGGGTACCTAGGTACGCGTCATGCGCTAGCCTCAGAAATCGGGGTGGCAGGCGCTGCCCAAGTGATGCCATCGACTTATTTTGGCTATCGCACTCGAGCCTGATGAATATTCCTACGGCTAAAATAGGCCTCGTGCTTTAAAATGTTGCATCGTGTTCCACCAAAGAGCAGTGCAAAAAATCTGAGGATCAATTACTGTCAAGCCACCCACGCATGACATAAGCCCGCACGCCAAAGCTACACACTATTGTTCTAGCCTGCATACTCAAGTAACGAGATCAAAACGGGCTGGAGTAGACGCAGTAGTTGTAGCACTATTGTTCAAACCCCAACTTCCAAGCATGTTGCACACCCGTATATCCATTCTACACAGCCTGACACCAGCTGCGACCTCCGCAAAAGGCGTCCTTTCATGTTGCATCAACACGACTGAGTATCACCCAACCAAGCAGGACCATACATTTAAGAAGAAGAAAAAGTTGCATAGAATTACATATCTCAACTACCAATTCCCAGCCCTAGACCCTACTGCCCCACAAAGAACAAGGCTAGAAAGTAACGAATCAAGACGTTGATGAAAAGTGACTGACTACCGGAGCGATCCCGCTTTTCTCAAAACGCCTTCAAGGAAAACAAAGCCACAAAAGGTCAAACGCCAGACCAAATGAGTGACATAGGAGATGCCAATGTTCCTAACCGCCAATCAGTTCCAACAAACGAGACATTCCAAGTGCTAATACAGAGAGAGCTAGCTGTGCAGGCTCAATCAAGCCAAACGCTTCAATCGCAAAGGAAGGACAGCCACCTAGGCCTTAGCCTTCTTGGCAAGGTAGTATGTCAAGAGGTTCAAGTGCTGTTCCCTCGCGCCGGCAACAGCTTTCCAGAAGCCGCCATCTTCTTTTGCGCCGTCGGAACCGTTGATGCGTTCGTGGAGGGCGATGCAGAACTCGATGTCTGCTTTGCGCACGTCGGCGTCTTGGTCGTCCATGCAGCGTACGGCTAGTCTGCCTAGACGCGCAGTCTGTTCGGCGGACAGTGTGACGTTCTTGGCGCCGCTCATCTGCACGAGGGATGCGAGTGTGGTCAAGGCCATGGTTGTGGACCGAGTCGACGCTTGGCCCGGTTGGGAAGAGACTGAGGACTTGGAGTTTGGCGAGGATGTTGGCGTCGATGCGGGTGTGTCCTCGATCATCGCAAGGACGGTGTTGAGACAATCCAGAGTCTGTCCATACTTGACAATCTCATCTGCGGTCGCTTCGAGGTCGATAGCGATGTGAGATGTGCTTTCGTACTGTGCCTTCGTTTGCAGGATAGTGCGGAGGACGCGGGAGTAGTACTTCGAAGTCTCCTTACGGTAGAGTGATAGCAACGCGCGAATTGTTGCTAGAGCCTGTACTTTTAGATTGACAGCTTTCATCTGAGGCGCCTTCAACTCGTGGACGGGAGCCTCAAGGAAATCCAGACATGCCAGTAATAGCCTGCCAAAGTTCTCGTCATTCGGCCCCCAGATTTCTTGGTTCGACTTGACCATGTCCTGCATGCGGCGGAACATGTGAGCTTCGACTGTGCGTCCTTCGATCTTTTTGATGCCGCTTGTGAGCAGCTGTCGGTTCTTCAGCACTTCAGCATCGTTTGTCTCGTAGCTTTGCGTGTGCAGGACACTTCCTGTGCTGTTCGTCTTGTGGTGGCCGCGAGGGCGCTCTTCGTTATCGTTGCCCATCATGACATCGCTTGTCATGCTTCCAGTACTTTGGCGGCGCTCGTTGCTCTTCTCGTTGATGGGAAGCTCCTCCAGGACCGGCTTCTCTAATCCATTCTCGACACGTGTGTGCTCCTCGCCAACAAATGGATCCTCAAACACTTGCACTTCATCTCCGGCGTCGGTACCGCGAGTGCTTGGTCGATCTGGCGACCGCAGGCGTGGGCTGCGTGTCGAAGACCGTAGGCTAGCGCTGTCTAGGTGCCCCATAGACTTTGGACTTCTTAGTGCTGCAGCACGAGGGCTGGGTATTGGCAGTCGACCGATGGACTTTCTCGGCTTCGGTGGCGTGTCATGTGTGGATTGTGTCGTTGGTTTCGCAAGGTTAGGAATGACCATGGTAAAGTTGTCTTCATCTCCCACATCCACAGCCTCATCGTCTCCAGCTACACTTCCACCCAGACCATTCCTTTGTCGAAATGGTATAGTACCTGCGTCATGCTGGCTTTGTGATCGAACCCAAGGCTTCACCATCGATAGGTCCTCCTCTTTTGCTGGGCTCACAGCCGGGCTCTCGCGACGAGAGCTCGCACTAGGAGACTTGCCATGGGCAATGGGTTGGCCAATTCTTGATTTGGGCCGCGCCGGACTAACTTGCGGGCTGTTCTGTGTTTGCGCACGCGGCCTTGAGCTGCTCTTCGGTACAGCAGGCTTCTTGGTCGCCGTTGGAGCAGGTGTCTTCTCTGGGGTCATGTTGGGCGTGCTCTTCCCTGGTCGTCGAACAGCATATGGATCCGCGGTCGCTGGTCGGTTCAACTCTGGTCGGCGTACCGGACGACGGACTGTGCCCGACATCAAGGAGCCGGTACCTGTGGAGTTCTTCAGCGCTGACTTCGTTGACTCTCCGGACATGGCAGAGGGTGGTCGCGCCGGTCCCGAAGAAGCCGTGGAGAGGTTCGACGTTGTTCTCGCGCCCAAAGACTTGGCCGATTGCGATGTTGGCACTGGTGTATAACTAGCAGCAGCAGAGTTGGGGCGTTCGGGGACACCTTTTGCGGCCGCTAGCTTTGCTCTCCTCTGTTCAGCAATCTTCTCCTTCAGGGCACTCCGCGAGGCACCCGGGCCTATTGATTTCGAAAACGAAGCTGTGCTTGTCGTGGACGAGGGGGCTGAGCCGTTCGGGTTGTTGGGGTCCTTTTCGAGTGCGGTCTTTTCTCGCTTGTCGAGCGTATCGAACATCCTAAAAGCTGTGTTAGTGACTAATGATGCCTCCACGTAGTCAAACTTACTTCTCGGCCCTCTGAGGCCATACTAAAGCGTACGTCCAGTAGGCGCTTCGGTATGCCTCTCGCACCTTGGGGTTGGCGTCAGTGACACCCCTCCGGATCAAGGTGTCCAATGTCTCCAGCCCTCCTGAGTGTTCGATATGCGAGGTGTGCCTCTTGATCAGGGTCTTTGCCCAGGTCGCAGAGTGGGTTCGGGGTTGCACGTTCTTGTCTTGTGAGGCCATGGCTACGTGCTGCAATACGCGACTGTTGTACGACACGCTCTGGAAAATGGTGTCTACTGTAACGGCTCCGTTCTGCGCTGCAATGTTCTTCGTAGCACCGCACATCTTGATGAAGGATTGCAGGAGAATCTCAACCCAGGGGTCGATCGCAGAGCAGAGTGTCTTTGCAAGCTCCTGAACCAGCAGGCAGCCGTTGGTGGACATGGTTGTTCGGAGCGAGTTGGCGACTTTGAGGATACCGTCTAGGAGCGATTTGATGCCGGCGATGAAAGTCGCGTGAAACTCATGGGGCGCGTTGCCCTTGAGTATACGTCTCAACTTTGTGCAGTTCTTATCTCGGGCCAGCCAGTTGCCCTCGCTCTCCTTGCCTTCGTAGCAGGGCGCCATGTCGCGGAACACGTCGTCGAGCTCGCGCTGTGTGTAGATATGTATGGGGTCCATGACGACAACCTCGACCGGGGGAGGCTGCTCATCCGCAAAGCTCTCTGCCAAGCCGACGTCGGGTTGCAGCGTCTGGGCGCGTTTGGATACGATGGGTCGGACGACGGGGGCGGGTGGTTGGGCAGGCGCGACATCCACGCTCTTAGCCATGGCGTCGTCGTCGAGGTGGGAGGTGATGTAGGTGGCAATGGCTTTACGGACATTCAGGGCCACGAGCTGCTTCTTAAGGTTGGCTTTGGCGTGTTCCGGAGCGTGTCTGTCGTGATGTCAGTTGCTACCATGGTGCAGCATATCCGCCAATGGACGTACCCAAAAAGCTCCACAACCGCCTTCTTCGCCGTGTCGCGCACGCCGGCATCCGCGTCTTCGCAGTTTGCCACGAGCTGGTTGGAGTAGCTCTTGAAAGGGAGCCCTTCGCTCTTGTTCATCTGTCGTCACCCAAGCGTTAGAACATTTCCGCGCCTGCCCGATGCGCTACGGGGGACCAACCTTGACCACCCACAACATGGCGGATTCTTTGGCGCGCGGGTTTGTGCTCTTGATGGCATCGTGTATCAGCGCGTCAATTTCCATGGAGCACAGGTAGTGCAGGTCGGCCAGAATCTGCGAGGCGGCGCTGCGGTGGCTTTCGCGCCCATCGCCCAACTTGTCGGCGAGGATGGAACATAGTATGGGCGACTGTGACGTAAGAATCGACGTCTCCTTCTGCAGTTGCAGGCGCTTGATGAAGTGGCTCAGCGTCGAGAAGCCCGTGGACACGAGCGCGGCCGAGGTGGCGGCGGTGCAGGCGATGCGGATGCACTCGAAGATAGGAGCCTGACAACTCTCAGGGACCCGGTTGTGCTTGATGCTCGACTTGAGCGTGCTGAACAGGGCCAGGCGCGACTGGACATCGGTCGACGGCTTCTGGAGTGCCTTGAGCAGGTCCGACGTCTCTTTCTCCATCGTGGGCGCAAATTGGCCCTTTGTCGCAAAATAATCCGGCAGCGGTAGAGGCGGGGTGGTTTGTATATGTTATGAGAGTTGTTTACGGCGGGCAGCCATCCCCGTTCACGCTAGACCAGTGTCCGAGCAACCGTGCGCTTGACATGCCGCACTGCCG